AGCACCAGGTCCATGCCAAAGAATGCAAGCTCCTCTTTAGACTGCCTGATCGCCAGAACATCAATATATCACCTTGCTGGAAGGGCCCAGGCTGGGGCCCTGTCCTTGCCAGCGCTGCCCGCCACGACGCAGACGAGTTAGCTGCCTTGAGGCAGGGCTCAGGGCATATCTGCTGAAGGCGCAATCGATTCTAGAACGATGTCCTTTCAGCTACCCTGGAAACTACTGCTGGGTCGTTGTCGGGATTCGCCAAACTCGCAGGTTGTCGATGTCCAGCTCCAGCCCGCTGTGCCAACTAATTCGTTGCGCGCGTTGGCCATGCTTCGTGCTGCAGCTGCAACTGAATCCTGGTCTCAAATTTCTCCAGCATCGAAGTCACTTGTCGCCATCTCCTCTAGATACCGTATCTTCCTCTCGACCTTGCCCACTTGCCAGTGAGCTTCTGGCGCAGCGTTGTTGATCACCAGGCCTAAGTCGTTGCGCAGTGAATCGAACTCGCCCATGGAGGTCGAGTCCAGGTCCTGCTCAACCACGGTGGGTGGCCCAGCCCACGTCAGCCACCCAAGCTCGAAAGCCTTCCTAGCCAACTCTGTCGGCGGCCTTGATCCAGGACGCGCGTAAATTGCCACTGTAACGTCCGACGCAACATCCACGATCACAAGCACCACGTGCATATTATTGTCCATGTCGGGTATGATCATGCAATCCATGCCGATGGCCTCGTTTAAATCTCTCACTTTGGGCTGGGCTGCTGTAGGTCTTGCTGCCGTCCGAGCCTGCTCCTCGCGCGTTGTGAATCTGGAGAGTCGTGCTGCGTGCGCCGCTCGTCGACTAGCTCCACCGTGCTGTAAGTATCGTACCAATGACTCCTTGTAGGGTCCATGTGAACGGCTCTCGTGTATCTTCTTGATAGCTGCTCGCACAAATGGCGGTGCCGCCGTCCATTCCGCCATCTCGATGTTATCGCCGTGCTTGCTGAAGATCGTCGCTGCGCTTGCATGCATGGGTGCCTCCTCCTCTGCTGGATTGGCCTCGATCTCGTCGAGCTCGATGTCCTCGAAGTTGTTGGCGTGCCTGGCGCGCCCGCCATGCTGCTTCTCGAGGCCCCGCAGATTCTGGATGCCGTCCATGATCGTCTTAGCCAGGTTAGCCGTCCAGTTGCCAAGACTTGATGCTGTTCCCTTCGGCCTGTTGATCACGCTCGCGCGCTCGTGTGTGTTATCGCACCTGATGCTGTTGAACTTGGCGCCTAGCATGGTTGCCGTAGTCAGGAACCGCGTCGGCTCCTCGACGGGGTCGCCCATGGGGCCCACCAGGTTGCCGACCTCGGCGCAGTGGTGCGTCATAGCGGCCGCGAGCTCGGAGCCTAGCCGCGGCATGAACTTCCACGCCTTGGATGTCAGCGGGTTCTCCAGTAGCATGCGTGCTCCTCGACGCTTGCAGTTGAGCCAGATCTGCTCGGCGAGCCGCAGATGCTCCATGCCAGTTGCTAGCTTCATCGCCCTCGTCTCCTGCGGACGCATGTCCGATATGTTCGTGAACGGGTCGCGTGGAAAACCCGCGATAGTCATGCGGGGGTCGTCCTCGCCCAGCTGCTTCAGCACTCTCCGCCGTGACTGAATGGCCCCCAATCAGGATGTCCCTTGGTCTCGTAGTGGGGCGCCGCCGTTGCTGAGCTTTCGATGTGGCAGCCATGCCGCCAGCGTAGGGCTCGCATATGATTGGCCGCTGCTCTTCTGGGTCCGCCTTCAGCGTCTCCGCGACCTGCCGGCGCTGGCCCCGCCTGTCCTGAAACTCCTTCTCCCGCGTCTCGATCAGCTTCCTCTGCTTTCGTCGTAGGATGCCCTTGTCTATCTCTTGCACCTCCGCGGTCCAGGTGTCGAGCTCATCCGTCGTGACTCATGGCGCTGTCTTGGTTGTTTCCTTCTTCGGCCAGTCCTTGAGCGAGATCGTTGGGCGCCCCCTCTCGGTCTTGTTGCGCGGCACCCCGTGCCTGTTGATTGCTTTGAGGTCCGCCTTCCGCTCCTTCGCCTACAGCGCTGTGTCTAGCTCTGCCAACTGGTGGATGCTTAGCAGCATCGGCATCTTCGATTTCGGCAGCCCCCGGAATCGTTGGTTCACGTCGGCTCCTGCAAGTCCAGCTGTCACCTCCTGCTCGCCTTCTGCCATGTAAGCGGCGCTATCATTCGCGCCTCGGAAGCGCATGGATGAGCCCCTCATCCTCGTAGTGATCCTGCTGTCCTCCGCGTAGCCGCCCAATGCTAGTGAAAATCCACATCCTCGTAGGCGCGCCGCGCCCAGTGCAGCATGTCCATCTGGAACAAGTCATATCCTTATCGCGCAGGCCTCGATCCCCTCCAGCTCCTCGTAGTCCACCTGCAGGCCAGCTGATGGCGCGCGATCCTCTGTAGGCCGGTAGTTCGTGCCTGTCCTGCGTTCCGTCCGCAGCCATGTCGGACGCGCTCGATGAGGTAGGCGCTCGCAGGCGCTCCTTGCGATGTCTCGTAGTTCCGAGGTACTGTCCCAGGGTGCTCGGCATAGGTCGCGCGCCAAATTCCTGAGCCCCTGTGGTGCCATCTCCATCGTGATGTGCATGGGCTGGCAAATCCGGTGCAGTGCCCAGTCCACGCACCAATCCTTGCAATCCCTGCAGGCCGCTTCCATGTTCTCACAGCTGGCCCATAATGCTGCGATCTGTGCTGCTCGATCTTTGATCTTCTATAGGTCTGCCGCCGTGTCAACTTCTTCATGCTATTCGGTGCTTGATCTGCTGGGCCATGTCTGTCCTGATCCAGATTTGGCGTTTGGTCGTCACTACCTTCAGGTTCTCGTTATTGATGTCCCTCAGGTATGCTTTGGATCCGATTCGCTTCTCCAGGCCACTCTCGGGTACCTTGATCGTCTCCAAGTGCTGATGCCGCCCAAGTGTTCACGATCTGCTCGTCGTGTCGATCCTCGCCGTCGTCAGACTCGTGATATCCCCCATCGTGGTCCCCATGTTCGCCCGCTGGTCATTCGTGATCTGGATAGCTGTCACATCCATTGAGCTGTCCACCGCCAGTAGCTTAACCGCCGTTGCCATCGCAAACCCAGCCCGTCGCAGAAAACCTCCAGGTCGCCCGTGAAAGCCTCGGCCACCACCTCGTCCTCCACGCTGTAGGCTGCTAGATGATCCGCCACCTTATGGCCTTGTCTTCTCGCGCTCCGGGTCGCCCTTCCAGTGGCCCTTCTTGTGGCGTGCGTTGCACTTCGTGCGAGCCTTTATCTTCATGAGCTTTTCTTCAGCTTCCTTGCCGTCCATCCTAATGGATCCCTGATTGTTGATGTTGGCCTTCAAGCCTCGACTGAACTTGCTCTGTGCAAGCCTCTCCCGAGCTTGCTTGCACTAGGGCTTGTGACCTTTTCGCCCGGCCTTCGACCCGACGCGCTGCGCCTCAGCCGCTAGAGTGTCGCACTCCTCCTGGCTGATTTCCTCGGGGTCGACGTCGTCAATCGCTCCCTCGAACTCGTCGATGTCGGCTGCTAGCGCGTCGTAGTCTCGCTCAGAAGCCCGTCCTCGTCGCACACGCCACGCACGTATCCAAGTGGGGCTTCATCCTCGTCGTCGTCGTTGTTCACCGGGTATGCTCCATAACGTCCATGACCACGTTCGTTTCTACGCGTCGTGTCCAACTGGATGAGCACCGCCGCCGTCGCGTCGTCCCAAATGTACTATTCATTGTTGCACTGCCCGAGAATAACTTCATGCTCGGTCATGCTGATATTGGCCAACTTTAATAGGAAATACGTCCGCAAGTCTTCGCTTACCGTCGTGTTTGCTGAGAGAGACTTGAGCCGCTCGTGCTCCGTCTCCCGCCTCGATATGCAGTCCTGCGCTGACTCCGATCTGCGGCGAAAGCCTGTGAAGAAATACTCCTCGAATGCTTGCTGCTTTTGTAGTGGTGCGATCCATTCGCAGGCTTATCGGACCGTGGCCAGTGCCAACTTTATTGCAGCAGGTGGGTCCTCACTTGCTTTGTCCAGCACTGCTTGCGTCGCAATCTCGGGCCTCTTCCTTGTGAGGTTCCACGCTCGCCCACTCAGATAGTTCTTGACATTGATCGCGTAGAGCTTCTGAAGCTTCTCCTCGCTCGCGTAATAACCGAATACTGCGCGCTCCTCGAACTCCTCGCCGTAGGCTGGGTCGCCGTTGTAGACGACGCCCTCCTTGTCCACGAAGAGGGGTCCTTCGTTGGGGTGCTGCTGCCTGGTCGCCATCTTGTCAGTGGTGAAGGACGCCGTCTAGCTCGTTGCCGTCCAACTCCTCTTAGATGTCGTTGTCACTGCTACTGTCCGGGTCGTGGCAACGATTCTCGGGCAGGCTGCAAGTGATGATGTTTAGCGTATTGGTCGCTGAAAGAAGCGCGCAGTGGTAAATCACTACGAGAGTCTTGAGCGCCACCATACATGTCTGCACGGCCACTCACAATATGAATCTCGCAACAGTATAATTGATACAGCTCCAGGCTACCAGTGTAAATACTGCTCACACTATCCCTCCTGCCAAGCACCTGATGCAAGCACAAGATAAGATAACTAACATCAACGTATCTCTGTACTCGAAACGAACGTGAGTAGGTGCGTCCACCCTCCCGCCCAGCTTGTGAGCCACAACAACCACGGGCGAGAGGGAAATGTAATTCACTATCGCCCTAAATCTCACATCCTTGCCTACCTGATTTTCACACTCTCCACCCCCCTCGGGGAAAGCGAAAGGGGGGATTGCAAAAAGGGGGTCGACGAATCAGCCACGTGCAGCTCGTTTTCCCTGCGCCTTCTGGCGCCCCGGACCCTCTCCTTTTCTCTTTGGTGCTGAACTAGGGCGCCGCTGCCTGGGCAGAAGGGAACAGTCAAGCTTCTTTGGGCCCTGGGCGCGCCTGGGTGCGCGAGGAACGCTTGAGGAGCAACCACGGAAGGCCCTAATCAAGGGACGGCGAGCCCGCTGCGAACGCAAACGGTTTTCAATATTTCAGCGTCTTGACTGCGTCAAGGGGGATCCAGTGAAGGTCGGAAAAAAGGACTGCGAGCGGGAGAGGATGAGGCAAAAAGGGGGCAGCGATCTCCAGTCGCTCGACGCCGTCGCCTGGCCGAGCCTGCGCAGGGGCGCGCCACTCACTTTCCCTCCGCCACCAAGAGCGCCTTCTCCCACTCAGCCTTCTTCGCCTTCTGAGTCTGGGCCATCTCGTTGCGAGGCGGGGCATCTGCCGGCTCCAGTCCCCCCCTGTTGACCGGCTATCTAGCCCCGGGGGCTGCACACGAGCACGAAGCAGAGGTGCAGAAGGAAGACCGAGAACACCACCATGGTGGGCTGGTGGGTAGCGAGGAAACAGAAGAGGGCCGTCGGAAACAATATCACGGAATCCGCCGGCCCCCTTGTGAGGTCACCGGGCTGTAGGACGAAGTGTGCTGCTCCCTGCACCAGTTGCAGTTTCAAGTCTCCAATGTTGCAATCCTGCTTTCTGCTTCCTACTGTAAACTGCTGAAGTCTGCGCGAGGGGGAGGAGCCCCAAACCGTCCGGTTACCACGCCCGGATCGCGTTGTCTGAATTCCAGGGGGGGCGTGGGACACGTCATGAGATTCGCGCCGCCCCCGAAGCCATAATCCTTCGTAAATTACACAAGGTTCGCGCCCCCAAGGCCACAAACCCTTGCAAATTACATCATATTCGCACTGCCGAGGCCAAGAGTGCTCCAAGGCGCCCGAAGATGGTTCCAAGACGGCCCAAGAGGGTCCCAAGAGCGCTCCAAGAGCGCTCCCGAGGAGAGAGCCCCAAGAGGCCCACATCGCTGATTTTTTAACGGTTCTCGCATGTTCGGCTTTCCGACGCTCTAACACTGCTCACCAAGACTGCCCCAAGACAGCCCAAGAGGCTTCCAAGAGGGCCCGAAGACGGCCCAAGAGGGCTCCAAGATGGCTCAAGAAGCGCTCAAGACAGCCCAATAGGACCCCAAGACGGCCCCAAGAGGGGCCCAAGCAGGGGACCACGAACCGACAATTTTATATGTGTGGCCCGAGAGGCCCCCAGGAGGCCCCAGGACCAAGAGGCCGCCACGAGGCCCCAAGAGGCCCCAACAGGCGCCAAAGACGCGCCCAGGAGGCCTCCAAGAGGCCCAACAAATATCTCACGAGGCCCCAATAGGCACCCAATAGGCGCCCAAACCGCCTCCAAGAGGCCCCCAGAAGCTCCCCACGGCACCCCAACACATACAAGAGGCCTCAGACCCACAACCCAGGCACGGTGGCGGGATGGGCCAAAGGCCACTAGGATCCGCCGCCCCCTGTCGATTCATCGCAGGGGTGCCTGGCGTGCTTGACGATTTCGGTTTTGGTTCTTTTTCCAAAAGAACTCTCCCAATGGGTTTCGGCCCGTCCCGCCGGGGTCCCGGGAGGCCCTTCCACGCGCACAAACTCCGGAAAACATCCTCCCTGAAACGGCCGTTTCGCTCGGGACATCCTCAAATAATCGCGAAGATGGCCCAACATGGCCTCCAAGTCCGCCCAAGATGGTCCAAGACGGCCTCCAAGACGGCCCAAGAGAGTCGAAGACGGCCCAAGACGGCCCAAGAGGCCCCCCAGAGGCCTCCCAGACGGCCCAAGAGGCCTCCAAGAGGTCCTCCAGGAGGGCCCGAAGAGGCCAGAATCAATGATTTTCCATAGGTTTTTGAAGGATTTTGGAATTTGCTTCTTCTCGGCATTCCTACGGCTTAAGACGGCCCCAGAGGCCCCCACGATCGCCTCCAAGAGGGCCTCCAGGAAGGCCCGAAAAGGCCAAATTCATTGATTTCCCAATGGGTTTTTGAAGGATTTGACATTTGCTTCGTTTCGGCCTTCCGACGGCCCGAGACGGCCCAAGTGCCCCCAAAGATCGTCCAAAGATCGCCCAAGAGGCCTCGAAGATGGCCCCAGAACGGGCCAAGAGGCCCCCAAGACGGCCCGGCCCAGGAGGCTTTTAAGACGCCCAAGATGGCCTCCAAGACGGCCCTGGAGCATTCCAAGAGGGCCCCAAGTCGGCTCAGCGAGGCCACCCAAACGGTTTCCGACGGCGTCGGACAGGCCAGGGGCCCACCAAGACGGCCGATGATGGCACCAAGATGGCCCAAGAGGCCTCCAAGAGGGCCTCCAGGAAGGCCCGAAAAGGCCCAAATCATTGATTTCCATGAGTTTTTGAAGGATTGTGGCGTTTGCTCTTTTCCGGCCTTCCGACGACCCAAGTGCCCCCAAAGATCGAAGATCGCTTAAAAGGCCCAAGACGGCCCCAAGAGGCCCCTAAGACGGCCCACGGGGCCTCCAAGACGCTCAAGATGGCCTCCAAGACGGCCCAAGAGCCCTCCAAGACGTCCTTCAAGAAGGCCCGAAAGGGTCAAAATGGCCTCCAGGCGGCCAAGATGACCTTCAAGATGCCCACGTGTTCCCCGAAGGCTTTCCAAACCGATTCGGGAAACACGTGGTCCGATAGCTTGGCAGGTCTGGCCTCAACATTCGGCCACATGGGCGCTTCCAAAAAAAGGCAGGAGGCGGCGGTGAGTCGCCGTAGGCGTCTTCGATAACGCCAAGTTGCAAAATGCGCTGATGATTCCTATCCGCCCCCGCATGAGGTTCCCAGATGCGCCAAAGCAGCGCCGAGACGCACCGACGCGACTCTGATATATCCCATTCTGATAGAGAGGGAGCCGGCGGCAGGGGGCGACGCCTTTACGGATAAGAAAAGACTGCATTAATATTAACTTTCGGAGGTCCGCGAGAATTTCTTGTGTCGGCGCTGGATTCCCCTCCCTGGCGCACGGAGCGCGCCAGGGGCGGCGCCGGAGGCGCCGCCAAGGGGCCCAACCCAGATCCAAGAAATCCGCGCGGACCTTCGACCAATGGTGTATGTGCAGTTCTTTCTCCTTCACCATCAGACAGACTGCACCAGCAACAAACACACTTGCGAGGGGATACGGGCCAGCCACCAGGGTGCCCCTCACGTGGCGCAGGGCGAGGCTCGAGGCCGTCCCGTCCTCGCTGTATAGCGGACGGTCGTCCGGCGCACCCGGCATGTCGCCCACCGTCTTCACGGACACGATCGGCCCCGCAGCCGAGCTCTCGGTGAAGACCGCCTCGACTCTGCGGACGTAGCATAGGCCGTCCGAGGCGTCGAAGTAGACCACGGAGCCGACCTCTGGCGCCCCTCGCCGCGCGAACACCAGCACGCTGCAGGGCGGGAACAGCATCGCCCGCTGCTGCAGGGCAGGCACGACGCAGCACAGCCTGGCGGCCCACAGCAGCGTCAGCAGCGAGCCTGCCGCCCAGCCCGCCAGCCTCTGCAGCTCGCACGGCAGCACACCGTGGCCGAGGCCGCCCCAGGCCACCCACGAGTTCTGCGGCCCGAAGACCCAGGAGGTGCCCAGCAGCCACGCCGCCAGCGGCAGGCGCAGGCCGCTGCGCACCCATCGGGCCCACGCCTCGAGACCTCCGTCCTCCGACTGGAGGCCCTGTGGCGCGAGGGCCCCGCCGTCCATGGGCCTGCCGGCCTCGGCTTTCGGACCAGCACGGCTGCAGAGGGAGGCAGTGGAGCGAGGAGGGGACCGCTGCTGCACAGATACTGGGTTCGTTCCATGGTCCGCTGGCTCAGCGGACCTGGGCGCCAGACCCCCTCCGACCACTCCCGCTCGCACCATCCTCTCCGAGCCCTGGACGGGTACAGGAATCGATGTCAGCGAAATCGCCGCACCTCTTTTTAATGGCGGCCATCGAGCCCCCCGCACCGCTGGCCGCCTGGGGAGGGCGCCGGCTGCACACAAGGGCACTGGTCCTTGGCCGGGACGGTCCTTGGCCCAGGATCGGTGCATACGCAGACCTGCAATGCCTGGGAAGCCCGATTATTGAGGAGGGCTCCTCATCGCTGTGAGTCAGCACGTCTACCCATCGCACAACCCTTGTCCCACATCATGGGGTAGCATCTTGTGGCGCAATATCTATCCGTGAAAAGGGGATCGCATCTTTTGGAACACCCTTTATCCCGTAAAGTGGGATAGCCTCTTGTGGCACATATCATCTTATCAGCGCGCAAGGGGGTGGCGCGAGGGGGGCGGCCTTCTACGAAAGCGGGTTGCTTCTTAGAAGGCGGGGGCCTTGTCAGAAAAGGCCCAGAAGCTTCTAAGCAGGCCTCCCCGAAGCCAGGATGGCTCCTCAGACCCCCCCCTGCTTTTTGACAAAAGAATCTCCCTGCCTTCTTAGAAGGCGCCCCCCTATCATTACCCCCTTGTGCGAGCCGCCAAGTCTTGAAGACGCCATCTGCAACCCTATCTTGGACAAGAACCAATCCTGGGAAGGGGCCGAGACATCCGGGGACCCCTGCATGCCCAGACCCCGACGTCATGCTTTTCTCCTCACGTCGACCCTCAAAAGACTCGACCTCTTCCCTGGGGGACGTTTGTCATCCCGGGCCGCTTTTGGACGGCCCCGAGGCCTGGCAACGGCTCCCAGAGGCCGAACCTATGGAAAAACCTTCTGCCGAGGGGGTCTCTGGCTTGGGACAAACCAGGACGCCGTGGACTCCTGCCTTGAGAGACCACGACGCCGGCGCACCGGGCACGCCTCCACGGCGCGGCGGGCGTCTGCACCGATCCTGGGACCCAGAGCTGGACTGGCCCGGCCAGCGCCGGTGCACGGCCCCGACGCCCGCCGACCTGGTTTTGGTCGATCCGCGGCCACAGGAAGCCCCGACCGCTCCCCGGGGGGGGAGCCCGTCGTCCCGGACCCGTTTCGGATGGTTCCGGGGCCCGAGAACGGTCCATGATCCTCAGAACGTGTGTCAGCGCCAACGTTTGATGGCGCGCACAGGGGGGTATGGGGGAGGGGGAAGGCTTTTTGGAAGGAGGCTGCTTCTTAGAAGGACCTGGCCGTACATCCATGGAGAAAGGTCCCGCGCCTTCTGAGAAGCAGGGGTGATTCTAAGAACCCTTCCCCCTTCCCCCTACCCCCCTCTGCGCATGGCTGAAGCGCGTCTGTCCACCGAGACCATTCAAGACGACGCAGGCGACGTAACGATCTACCGGCGGGGCTGAACGGGGTACACACACATTGGGCCAACACATGTCCTGAGGATCCTCGAGGCGGACCACAGGTCGAAATCTGAGCAGCACCGCCAATTGACAAAAATCATCTTGTCGGAGGTCTGCGGCTGGCGTCCCCCCCCGCGCCTGTCCAGTTCCCGCGGTACTGCTGCAGCCCCTGCGCCAACGGGCCAGCCGAGCCCAGGTGCAGCCGCACCGAGGTCCCGGCATCGAGATCGTGAACCTCCCAGGCGTCGGACTTGGCAACGAACTCCATCGCGTACGCCGCGGTGCACCGCCTGCCCAGCGTCGCCTTGGACGGCCCGGCGTGGTGTAGGACGAAGGGCACCGACTTCGTGCCCAGCAGCATGGGAGGCGAGCACCTGAGCGACGAAAATGAGCAAGTATCACGCAAGAAGACGCAACGACCTTACATTGCAGCTTACGCGGGCCGCCAGCGTGTCGGCATAGATGGAAAACATAAGGGGGGAGTGGCAGAGATGTTTCTTAAGCACGGGGCCAAGCAACGGGGTACCTCACATCCCTGAGCTGTCCGACGCGGACGCCATGAGCCCAAGACTGCTTGAGCCAAAACCTACCTTTCAGCTGCTGCGCAACACGTCAGACATATAGGGGAGAGAAGAAGAATGTGGAACACACGGCAGGCGTGGCACACCGCGTGAAGATGATGGCGCTTACGACCGACCTTACGCGGGAAACTCACGTGCGCAATCGACCCCGTTCCGTTTCTTCTGCGGCTGGAAACTTTTGGAGCTCCAGGGCGGCGCCGAAGGCGCCGCCATGGGGGTTCAGCGTCGACCCCAGAGATTCGAGCGGAGCTCCGAAAGTTTCTGTTTGTGCAATTCTTTCGCCCTCGGATGGGCGGCGAGCACCCGTCGCCCCAGTAGCCCTCGAGGGTTGGTGAGCCGCTGCTGCAGAGCAGCCTGTGGGAAGCCAGAATTTACCGATACCGCTACACCCCGGACCTCTCCCGGGGTGCGTTCTGACTACGATTTCGATGCGAATCCAGCCGTGGGGACGAGGACCTCCCAGGAGGCCCCCAAAGGCGACCACCCCAGCAAAGCGCCTTCACAGACATCCAGCGTGCAGAGGCGCGTCGAGGAGTAGGAGGTCCGCGAATGAACAAATACATTCCTAGGTAGTCCTAGGAAAGATGCAGCCGGGACAAGGTTAGGGCACGGCCATGTGCACCACCCCAAATAGTGTTTTTTTGTAAGAAGATCGTGGTCGTCCGGGTCAAAGTTATAGCTGGCACTGAAGCGAAGACACGATTCCCAAATCAATTGTGATGAAGTTTCAGGCGAACGGTTGCCAGACTGGGTCGCCTGGGGCTCCCTGCCCCCCCGTGTGAGAATCTTCGGTGTTTTTTTGTATTACGTCTACGTGCTCAAACCCTCTCGCAAAACGCTATTAGGGAAAAGCGCAGGAAGGGTAGCGGGATCGGTAGATGTTCTTCATCTGAAGCCTAGCCGTCTTCGCCTTCGTCCTCTGCACGCGGGGGTGCTGCTCGGAGACGCCGTAGCCCTCCCTGGCGGCCAGCTCGGTCTCGGTGGTCCAGAACAGCTCGGCTTCGGTGTCCACGACCGCGAGGCCAGGGAACCAGGTCTGGACAAGCTTCAGCACCTGCATGCAGTCGCTGGCCTTTTCTGCTCGGAGGCTGCGACGAGGGCGTGCAGCTGATCACAAGCGAACGCCCCGCATCCACAAGGTCGCGGCACAAAGGTCCCGGCCCGCGAGGCCGTGTCTACTCGTATGCTTTCCGCAGACGGTCCCAGGACGGGGTGCTCCGCGACCGCCTCAGGCGACACTCGCCCCGCTGCCCAGACCGAGGCTCGAGGACCACGAGAGCGAGCGCGCACGCGTGCTCCTCCTGAGCTGCTCGCCCCGGGTCGCGGCCTCCGATCTGCCACGGCCACGGCGGCCATGACGCCGAAGAGCCGGCGGGCGCTGCGCACGCGGCCGAGCCTTGGCGTAAAGCAAGCGGGTCCTGAGGACAACGGGTCCTGGACCACAGGGCCCTCCTCCAAGACCAACTTTTAGTTCCGAACCGTTTTCAGTCCCCAGGCCCGTGGAGGGCACCAGGACGCCAAAAACGAAGAGAACCTCAGGACCTGTTTTCCTCAGGACCCGTTCCCAAATCCCCGACGTCGTGATTTTGCCACACCGTCGGCCTCTTCTCTGGGACTGGTCTCTCGTCCCGAACTGTTTTCTGACGGCCCCAGGGCCCAAGTGTACAAACATGTATACACATATGCGCATATTCCTTCGACCTATGAAATAAAAGAGGAAAAAACAACGGCATGTCACCGTCACCCCTCCTCGCCGAGGGGTGGGAGGTATACGCCTACGGCCCCCCCTGCGAGGCCGAAGAGGCCCCCAAGAGAGCTCCACAGTGCGTTCCGACAGCCCCCGGGAACCCTATACGAGAGCGCCCCGGGGCTTACCTCGGGCTCCCCGGACGGCAAACATGCACTTCCCAGACGGCCTCAGGAAGGCCCGAAACGACCCCGAGATGGCCCGAGAGCGCTACGAGAGCCCAAGACGGCTTCTTCACGACCAGAGGAGGACCAGAGAGGCTTGAAAACGGCCCAAGGGGCCCCCCAAAGGGCCCCCAAGAGGCTCCGCCAAGAGGCAACAATCTTCAAATTCCTTTCGGGAAACGTGCATTTTTAGCATATTCGTTTCCCCGGCTCTGACAACGTCCAAGATGGCCCAAGAGGCTCCCGATATCTCCCCAAGACGGCCCAAGAGGCCTCCAAGAGAATCCCAGGACGGCCCGCCACCGGGCAGCGAGGCGCGAAGTGGAGTTTTCTCCAGGTCCTCATGTGTCCTCTGTTCTCTGTGCTCAAGACTCTGGGATTATAATATTCCCAGGGCTGGGGCCCCAAAATCTCAAATTCCCTGGGCGTTCCCGCGCGTTCCTAGGCTGCCCCACATGACTCCTCCAGAAGCCAGCAGAGGGCCCCAAAACTGGCCAAGAGGGCCCCAGAAAGCGCCCAAGAGGGTGAAGAAGCCTCCAAGACAGCCCAAGAACGCTCCAAGACGCCCAAGACGGCCCAAGAGGCTCCAAAGTCCAAGACGGCCCCAGAAGCCTCCAAGACCGCCCAAACACAGCCCAAAAGGCTCCCAGGAAGGCCCCAAGACGGTCCAAGAGGGCACCCAAACGGCCCAAGAAACGCCAAAGATCGCCCAAGAGGGCTCCAAAACGGCCCCAAGAGGAGCCCCAGATGGGGAACACGACTGACAATTCGAGCCTTCCGCCCCAAGAAGAGGCCTCCAGGAGGTCCCCAAGAGATCCCAAGAGCACCCCTAGAGGCCCCACGATGCCCCCAAGAGGAAGAACAAAAGTGCCCCAATGCCCCCAAACGGCCTCCAAGAGGCTTCAAACTGCCTCCAAAAGGCCTCCCGCGATGTCCAAACGAATATTCAAGAGGCCTCTAACCCACAACCCAGACACGGTGGCGGGATAGGCCGAAGGCCAGTGGATATCCGCCGCCCCCTGTCGATTCATCGCAGGGGTGCCTCGCGTGCGGTTTTGGTCTTGGTTCCTTTTCCAAGAGAACTCCCCCTGGGGCTTCGGCCCGTCCCGCCGGCCACAGACTGCTCCAAGACGGCCCAAGATGGCCTCCAAGTCGGCCAACATGGCCTCCAAGACGGCTCAGATGACCCCAAGATGCCTCCAAGATGGCCCAAGATGCCTCCAAGACGGCCTAAGATAGCCTCAAGATGGTTCAAGACGGCCCAAGAGGCCCCCAAGAGCCCCCCAAGACGCCTCCAAGAGGTCCTCCAGAAAGGCCCGAAGAGGCCGAAATCATTGATTCCCCTTAGGTTTTTGACAGATTTGGGGATTTGCGCCTCTTCGGCCTTCCGACGGCCCCAGACGGCCCAAGAGGCCCCCAAGGTGGCCCCAAGATCGCCCCAGAGGCCTCCAAGATGGCCCCATGATGGCCCAAGAGGTCCCCAGGACGGCCCCAAGAGTGCCCCAAAACGGCCCAGGAGGCCTCTAAGACGCCCAAGGAAGCCTCCAAGACTGCCCTGGAGCACCCCAAGAAGGCCCTAAGTCTGCCCAGAGAGGCCCCCAAGACGGCCCAAGATGGCTCTCAGATGGCCTAAGAGGCCTCCAAGAGAGCCCCCAGGAAGGCCCGAAGATGCCCAAATCATGTATGTTCCTGATTTGTTGAAGGATTTTGGCATTTGCTTCTTTTCGGCCTTCCGACGGCCTGGGACGGCCCACGAGCCCCCAAAGATCGCCCAAAAGGCCTCCAAGATGACCGCATAACGGCCCAATAGGCCCCCAAGGCGGCCCCAAGAGGGCCCAAAGACGGCCCAAGAGGCCTCCAAGACGCCCAAGACAGTTTCCAAGACGGCCCTAGAGTATTCCAAGAGGACCCCGAGTCGGCCTAGAGAGGCCCCCAAGACGGCTTCCGACGGCGTCAGACGGGCCAGGAGCCCACCAAGACGGCCGAAGATGGCCCTAAGACGGCCCAAGACGGCCCAAGAGGCCTCCAAGAGAGCCCAGGAAAGCCCGAAGAGTCCCAAATCATTGATTCCCCTTAGGTTTTTTGAAAGATTTTGGCGCTTGCTTCTTTTCGGCCTTCCGACGGCCCCAGACGGCCCAAGAGGCCCCCAAGATCGCCCCAGAGGCTTCCAAGATGGCCCCATGACGGCCCAAGAGGTCCCCAAGACGGCCTCAAGAGGGCCCCAAGACGGCCCAGGAGGCCTCTAAGACGCCCAAGGAAGCCTCCAAGACTGCCCTGGAGCACCCCAAGAGGGCCCCAAGTCGGCCCAGAGTGGCCCCCAAGACGATTTCCGACGGCGTCAGACGGGCTAGGAGCCCACCAAGATGGCCAAAGAGGCCCCCGCCCGAGAAGTCCCCGAAGGCCCCCAAGAGGCCTCCAAGAAGGTCCCCAAGATGCCTCCAAGAGGCTCCAAAGAAGCCTCCTCCTCCTCGTCCTTCTCCTGCTCCTCCTCCTCCTCCACCTCCTCCTCCTCCACCTCCTCCTGATCTTCCCCGCCATCCTCCCCCGCGTGTTCCCCGAAGGGTTTGCACAACGGCTGGGGGAACACATGGTCCGATTGCTTGGAAGAGCTCTTGCCACAACGCTCGGCCACATGGGCGATTCTGGAAGGCAGGGGGCGGCGGTGATTCGACGTAGGCATCTTCGATCCGCCGCCCACTGTTGGCTTGCCACAGGGGTGCCGGGCGTGCTAGGCCCTTTCGGATTTGGTTCTGGTTGTTTTTTCAAAAGAACTCTCCCCTGGGGCTCCGGCCCAGCCCGCTGGCCACCCGAAAGGGTGCATAAGATGTGGTTGCAAGGGTTTTCCTGCTGCAGACGGCTCCAAGATGGTCCAAGATGGCCTCCAAGATGGCTACGATGGCCCTCAAGTGCGTTCAAGATGGGCCAAGATGACCTCCAAGACTGCCAAAGAGAGTCCAAGATGCCTCCAAATTCAGCCCAGAAATCTCCAAGACGATCGAAGAGGCCTCCCAGACGGCCCAAGAGGTGTCCAATAGGTTCTTCAGGAGGGCCCAAAGAGGCCCAAACCATTGATCTCCCTCTAGGTTTTTGAAGGATTTTGGGATTTGCGCCTTTTCGGCTTTCCGACGGTCCAAGTCGGCCCAAGAGGCCCCCAAGATCGCCCCCAGAGCGCCCAAGAGGCCTCCAAGATGGCCTCAGGACTGCCCAAGAGGCCCCCAAGACGGCCCTAAGAGGTCCAAAGACGGCCCAAGAGGCGTCCAAGACGCCCAAGGAAGCCTCTAAGACTGCCCTGGAGCACCCCGAGAGGGCCCCAAATCGGCCCAGAGAGGCACCCAAGACGGCTTCCGACGGCGTCAGACGGCCAGGAGCCCACCTAGACGGCCCAAGATGGCTCTAAGATGGCCCAAAACGGCCCCAGAGAGGGCTTCCAGGAAGGCCAGAAGAGTCCCAAAGTATTGATTATCCTTTGATTTTTGACGGATTTCTGCATTTGCTTCTTTCCGGCCTTCCGACGGCCCGAGATGGCCCAAGATCCCATAAAGATCGCCCCCAGATCGCCCAATAGGCATCCAACGGCCCAAGAGGCCCCCAAGACGGCACAAAGACGGCCCAAGATGCCTCTAAGACGCCCAAGACGGCCCTGGAGCATTCCAAGAGGGGTCCAAGTCGGCCCATAGAGCCCCCAAAACGGCTTTCGACGGCGTCAGACGAGCCAGGAGCCCACCAAGATGGCCCAAGATGGCCCTAACATGGCCCAAGACTGCCCAAGGGGCCTCCAAGAGGGCCTCCAGGAAGGCCCGAAGAGTCCCAAATCATTGATTCCCCTAAGGTTTTTGAAGGATTTTGTCATGTGCTTCTTTTCGGCCAGGAGCCCACCAAGACGGCCAAAGAGGCCCCTGAGAAGCCTCCAAAGGCCCCCACGAGGCCCAAGGAGGCCCCCAAGATGCCTACAAGAGGCTCCCAGGAAGCTCCCAGGAGGCCCCAAGAGTGTCCCCAGAGGCTCCCAAGATGCCCCCTCCTCCTCCTCCTTCTCCTCCTCCACCTCCTCCTGATCTTCCCCGCCATCCTCCCCCAAGTGTTCCCCGAAGGGTTTGCACAACGGTTGGGGGAACACATGGTCCGATAGCTTGGCGGAGCTCTTGCCACAACGCTCGGCCACATGGGCGACTCTAGAAGGCAGGGGGCGGCGGTGATTCGCCGTAGGCATCTTCGATGCGTATATACGTATGTACGTCGTAAGCATATTCGATGCGTGTATACGTATATACGTGTGTGTGTGTGTTGTGTATGTGTGAACTTCTTAGTGTTTGTGTGTGCGTGTAACGCATACCCACGTGTATGGGTGTACACGAACTATACATAATATGTACATGCTCTCGGTGAGGCGCAGCTGCTGGAAAGCACGCGACCGACCAAAACTTCAGAAGACCTCGAACCTCGAAGGTCGAAGAATTCTGGGGTCCTGTGAGGAGGTCTGGGGGACTTCCCTCCATGGCGAGAGCCATGTCCCGGTGTCCGCAAACGGCAGCGTGCCGGGACCCCGGACCTCCGCGCACACCTCCGCGGCGCCCGCCAGCAGCGGCCCGGCCCTGGAGGCACGGCCCCAGGCGCGCTCGAACCTCGAGGGGCGACGTCAGGGGGGGGCCAGCCCAGGGGGGGGGAACATCGAGCTCGAATCGGCGACGCATCGCCTCGGCGATAGGCCCTCGATGGCGAATCCGCACGTTCCCTGGCGGGGGCGGGCTATCGGGCCCCGATCGGGCGATGCTTGGGCGATTGGGGGTCGATGCGCCCCCCCCGAGCCTACAGTCAACCCGTATTACAAGGATGCACGGTAAGGATGCAAGGGCCTTGGAAAGCCATGCCGACACTTTGCGGGCGGGGCGCGGCCAGCGAAAGCGGCCCAGGATGGGCAGGGGACGCGTGGATGCAGGGGGTAGCCTTGGCACGACGCTCATCCTGACTATGCGGGTCGACTGTATCGCCCCCTTGCGCCTGAAACCTGGGCGCGCGCTCCACAGCTGGTTCCCCGCCGTCGTCGAGGTTCGCGCGGGCCCACTGCTCGAACGGGTAGCAGTGCCTCAGCATGAGCCCGGACCCCCTCGCGACGTGGAAGAAAAAACACGACGGACGTTTTTTTTTTTTTTTTTTTTTTTTGTTTTTTTTGTTTGTTTTTTTGTGTGTGACTGGGGGGGGGCAACTTTCGGCCTCTGGGGGCCTTCCCGCGACCGACAAAAAACAGCTCAGGACGAAGAACTACTCCCAGGGAATGGGTCGAGACCTCCGCAGGGGGGTGACGCTGCGAACAGAACAGTGTCGCCGGGGGTCTTGGAAGGAAACGGGTCCCGCAGGAACTGGTCCCTGAAGCCTGGCTGGGGTCTTCCCCAGGACCGACCCGTTTCTTGACGGACCTAGTGCCCGTAGAGAGCCCCCGAGAGGCCCAAACCGCCGAAACACCCCCATTCCCTGAGGACCCGCAGTGCCCCTTCCCATGGGGTAGTTTTCCTAGAGGCCTCCTAGACGGGGTCGGACGGATCGGAAGATCGCGCCGCATCTCCGATGCCGATGCATCGCCGATGCATTCGCGATGCGCCGGTGACGTCGGCGAGCGATGCATCGGCGCAGTCGGCGTGGAGAAAATCAGGCTCCACATCGAGTCCCATCGCCGATGCATTGGAGATGCGGCGCGCTGGGAGGCCTAGATTTTCGTCGCGGATCCATCTCTGACGGTCAGATGTCAGGGGGGACGACAGGGCAAGATAGCAAAGGGCAGAGTAGAGAGTCAGCTCACGTAGCTTGGCTTCCTGATGCCTCCTGGCACTGGGAGGCGTCGATCTATGGAGGAATGGGCCCAGCGGCGGGGCGGAAACCACCTGCATGCAACAAATTTCGTACCCCCCCTTGCCCTATCCTGCCCTTTCGCCTGGCCCGACAATGGCCCCGGCCGAAATCGAAGAAAAACGCCGCGCTTGGAGAACACACGTCGTCGGAAATCTAGGATTGCTTTACTGAGCGGCGCGCACCAAGGGTAAGGGGAGGGGGGAAGGCTTCTTAGAAGGAGGCTGCTTCTCAGAAAGCGCCAGCCTTACATCTACAGACAAGGTCCGCGCCTTCTAAAAAGCAGGGGTGCTTCGAAGAAGCCTTCCCTCTCCCCCTATCCCCCTCCGCGCGTGGCCGAAGTACCCTGATCCCATGGTCTTCCCTGGGACCAGCTCCTCGTCCGGAGCCGCCTCGCGACGGTCCCGCGGGGCCAGCGGCGGAAAACCTGAGGAGCCGTTCTCAGACCCGTTCTCAGACCTCCGACGCCGAAGGGCAAAACATTCAACCCTCAGTATAAGCACCCCGACAAGCGACGCCATTCAGTAAACGCACCCAAAGACGGAATCGAACAGGGCAGGGCTGTTCAGTAACAGCCCAGGACGGCTTGCTAAACGCCAGTTATGGGGGTAGGTTTTTTTGTTTCCTCCTTTGAGACGTCTCGATTTATTCAACACGGCGTAGCTAACAAACATCTGGACCACTCCCCAGAAGCACTGGTCCTTCGTTCCCGATGGCCGCTTGATTGCCCCAGCACTCGGCGGGGGCTGCCAGAGGCCGACACGAACATCGCAAACCCTTCCGTCGTGCTTTCGCTCCACGGCGCGAGGATGCCGAGGCTTGCTTCGTGGCCAGCGCGGTGCCCCTGCCCGGCGAAGACCACGGGCTCCCAGCCGGCGGACCACTGCGCGCCCGCGCCCGCGGCCCGGGCCACCAGCGCGGACCACGCCGCCTGGAGCTCCGCCGCGCCCCCGCGCTGCACGAGCGTGTCCGCGGCGTCGAGGTACAGCACCAGGTCCTCGGCCGGCAGCTCCTCTGTGAGGGGCCGGCGAGGCCCGGGCCTCTTTCCAGATCTTCGAGGACGGGCGTTCTGCGATCCCGGCGGTTTCCCTCGCTTCCGGCCTCTTGGGCCCGTGATCGGGCCGTGGGGACATCAGAATCAATTGGGTCTGGGATGGAAAACGTACCCCCTTGGGGAAATGGTCAGACCTTGGAAGGCCGCGGAATGGAACAAACATGTCGGCAGATGGGGACCTCTTCGCGTTGCGACAGCAATCACGACGGGAGGGTTTAATACATTTCCCCCTCCCTGGTGTCTCTTACAGGTCCCTGGGGCCATAAGAGACTGCTCAGGACGAAAAGTCGTCACCTGGGCAGGGATCTACATACAGCAAATGGGAACCACATGGTCGAAAAATCAAGACGTTGGAGGTCTGGGAACGGGGGGAACTCAGTGGGGGGACTGGCTCAGGGGGAAAGCTCTGAGATCCTGGAGTCGCCTTTTTTTGTGCAAAAAATGCACTGCGCGTTTTCACCCAGATTCGGGCCCAGAGGCCCTCGCATATCGATCTGGCTCGACAGGTGCAGCAGCAAGATGGAATATTGTGCTCCAATTCTTTAATGTTACAGGACCCCCTAAACACTCAAACGATCCTTGCACTTCGGGATTCGCATGTCTCTTCCAAGGAACTGGGCCTGCTGGCCGGTCTGGCGGTTCCGTGCTCGCCGTCGCCGCCTGGACCTGCGAGCCCGTCTGGCGGCTACGTGCTTGCTGTCGCCGCCTCGTCGCCGCCCCGTCGCCGCCTAGATCGCACCACGTATATTTTCTCTTCTAAAGCGAATTCGGATCTCCCTCTCCCTCCAAGGTTCTTATTCTATCGGGGGGATGTGCAAGTTACATGGGAGATTGCCCCATCATCCTCTTGTTTCAAAGATTCCCCTCCCGAAGATTCATACCATCTCAACCAGGCGGATATGCCCTCCCTTTCCCCTCATCGCATCCTTGACAAATACTACTGTGGGCGCACGCTCGCTTATCAAAATTCGTATGTGTTCAGAAACCCCTTGCAACATATGTGACAAAATCCATACGCGCGCGGCGTCGCGCGCGCATGTCGCAATTATCAGAACACTCGGGTTTTGTACGGGTTTCCAGATCGAGGTTCCCACGCACATATAAACATATAAAGAACCTATGGTTTTGCACCACTGTGTTTCAAGAAGGTCTGGGCGCGCGCTCTTGCGACAGCTCACGCAAACCATGGTCTTTCTTTCTTAGAAAACAAGACATATTTGCATACGTGCGACCAAGCGGGTCTCTCGCGCGCGCATGTCGAAACCATTCGAACGCCCTTGCGCGCTTGCTGGGGAAGGGGGCACGATGCCTGTCAAAAAATACGCTGCGGACCACCCGCGCCCGTCGGCCGCGCGCGAACGTCGAAAAACGTCTAGCAATTCCATCGCTGACGCGTGGATACAATCATCGTCGTCGGCGCGATCAGCACCAGCGCAGTCGTCATCGTCATCGCCGCCACAAGCATCGCCAATCTCATCATCGTTTCTGCCGTTGTCGACGTCGCCATGGCACCGCGCCCGCCCGAGTCACCGACACGCGCCGAGGTGCCCGCGTCAGCGCGGCCTGCGAAACGCGCCGCGAAGTCCCCAGCGGTCAACGCCACTGCGGCCGCGTCGGTCGCGCCAGACTAGCTGGCTGCTGTGCGCGCGAGCCTGCGCGCGCTAGCGCGGCCGCGGCGATGCGCCAGCCAGCGTCAAGCAGTCACCGCAATCGCCGCCGCATGCGTTTTGCATACCATGTTGCGGGTGGGTGGGTGGGATGATTGCGCGGATGGGATGATTGCGCGAGTAATGGAATTGACAATTCATTGCGAACAAAATCAATTGCACCGCATAGTCAGCACCACACAGATGACATACCTTATCGCGCACCACATATATTGCACAGCATTGCACAGCGTAGATTGCACCACACATTACCCCACCAAGATTGCACAGCGTATGCTGTTAGAAACATGCTGCTTTGGGCCCGCGCTGGCTAACATGTTCAATGTTGTTTTCAAGCTGTCCCTTTGATGGGTGTTTTGAATAAAGCACTGTGGTCTCCGTCTTTCCATCCTTCCTTCTTCCTCCTCCTTCCTCCTCCTCCTCCTCCGTCGTGCTCCTGCTCATGCTCCTCCTTCGCCTCCAACAGCTTTCTCCCTTCTCTTCTTCCTGCTGCTAGCCTTGCTTGGGGGGCTGCGAATTGCGATCAGTCGCCCCTTTACGTGGGCCCGTGGCAAGCCCCCTTGGAGTGGTGTCCCACGCAAACCACCATGAGACCTCGCCATGCATGGCGGGCTGCGATCTGTGGAGCTGTCGCAACTTTCGTGGGCTCCTGTGATGTCGTCCCGGCTGCGATCTGCGAAACTGTCGCCGTCTTAGCGGGCCCTGGGAGGTCCAGCGGAGTGGTGTCCACGCAAACCGCCATGAGACTTCGCCCTCCCTAGGGGGCTGCGATCAGCCGAACTGTCGCCATTTTCGTGGTCCTCGGGGGGGGGTCCAGCGGACTGGTGTCCATCATTGGATCTCGCCGCCATTGGGGAACTGCGATCTGCGAGCAATGGTGTCCCGCGCAGGCCACCGTGAGGCATCGCCGTCCCTAGGGGGCTGCGACCTGCGAGACTGTCACCGCTGTCGTGGGCCCGTGGGGGGTCCAGCGGAATGGTGTCTCGCGCGGACCACCATGAGACCTGGCCGCCGGGGCTGCGATCTGCGGAACTGTCGCCACTTTCGTGAGCTTCTGGGAGGTCCCTGGGGGGCTGCGATGTGCGAAACTGTCACCGCTGTCGTGGGTTCGTGGGAAATCAAACGGACTGGTGTCCCACGCAGGCCACCATGAGACCTCGCCGTCCATTGGCGGGCGGCGATCTGCGAAGCCGTCGCCATTTTCGTGGGCCCGCGGGAGGTCCAGCAGCGTATTGTCGCGCGCCGATCACCATGCACCCCCGCCGTACGTAGGGGGCTGCGATCTGCGAACCTGTCACCCCTTTGATGGCCCCTGGGAGGTCCAGCGGAGCGGAGTGGTGTCACACGCAAGCCACCATGAGACCTCGCCGTCCATGGGTTGGCTGCGATGAGGGAGCCCGTCGCCACTTTCGTGGGCTCCTGGGAACTCCAGCGAAGTACGTGTCCCACGCAAATCACCATGAGACCTGGCAGTCCCTGGGGGGCTGCGATCTGCGAAGCTATCGTTATTGTCTTGGGCCCCTGAGGGTCCAGCGGAATGGTGCTCTACGCAGACCACTATGAGACCTCGCCGTCCCTGGGAGGGCTGCCATATGCAAAACTGTTATCACTTTTCTTGGCTTCGGGGGGGTCCAGCGGATGGGTGTCCCACGCAGGCCACCATCAGACCTCGCCGTCCCTGGGAGGGGCTGCGATGTGCGTAACTGTCGCCACTCTAGTGGGTTTCAGGGTGGTCCAGCGGAGTGGTGTCTCACGCCGACAACTCTGGAACCTGGCCGTCCCTGGGTGGCTGCAATCTGTGGCGCTGGCACCGCTGTCGTGTGCCCGTGGGGGGTCCAGCGGAACGGTGTCCCACGCATAGCACCATGAGACCTCGCCCTCCCTGGGGGGCTGCGATCAACCGAACTGCCGCCATTTTCGTGTGCCCCACGCAAACCGCCATACGACCTCGCCGTCCCTGGGCGGGCTGCGATCTGCAAAACTGTCACCGCTTTCCTTAGCCTCTGGGAGTTCAAGCGGATGGGCGTCCTACGCAAGCCATCATGAGACCTCGCCGTCCCTGGGGGGTTGCGATGTGCGGATCTTTCGCCACTTTCGTGGGCTTCTGGGAAGTCCTGCGCAATCCCACGCAAACCACCATACGACCTCGCCGTCCCTGGGGGCTCGCGATCTGCGAAACTGTCGCCAATTTCGACGGCCCGTGGAAGGCCCAGCGGCGTGGTGGCCTACGCAAGCCATGGGACCTTGACGTCCATGCGGGGCTACGATCTGCAAAACTGTTGCCACTTTCGTGAACCCCTGGGAGACCCTGCGAAGTGAGGTCCTGTGCAGATCAGAATGAGACCTGGCCGTCCGGGGGGATGCAATTGCGAAGCTGTTGCCATTTTCGTGGATCCCTGTGGGGCCCTGCAGAGTTACGTCCCGCGCATCTCAGAATGAGACCTCGCTGTCCCTAGCAGTTGCGAATTGCGAAACGGTCGCCACTTCCGTGGGCTCCTGGGGGGTCCAACGCAATGACTTTCTACGGCGATCCGAATGAAACCTCGCCGTCCCTGGGGGACGCGAACTGCGAAACTGTCGCCACTATCGTGGGCTCCAGGCCCTGCAGAGTAACGTCGTACCGAATTCAAAAAGAAACCGCGACGTCTCGGGGGGCTGCCAACTGCGAAACTGTCGCCGCGCTGGTGGGCCCTGGGGGGGCAGCACAATGACGTCCTATGGAAATCAGAATGGGACCTCGCTGTCCCGGGGGGCCGCGAGCTGCGGAACCGTCGTGCCTTTTGTGGGCTCCTGGGGCCCCCATCGGAGTCGCGTCCTACGCAGATTAGAATGAGACCGAGCCGTCTCTGGGGGCTGCGACGGGCTGGCAGAGCACGCGGAGGGGGTCGACGTCTCGGGCGCAGGGCGGTTCGTCTTTAGCGGGCCGCGGACATCGAGCCCCTTCGATTCCGCAAGCACGGAATGATGCGGATAGGCCTGCAACTCTCCCACGCCACGTACTCACGTCGAGCGCTGGCCAGGGCCGGGCCGGACCGTGCACGAGGGCGTGATCGTCGACGCTGGGCATACGGATGCCGACGATATGGACGGGTGATGATCGAAGGCTGCTGGCCGACATGGCTGCGCGCCTCCGGACCTTCGGCGCCCGCACGGAGCGTTGCTGCAGGAGTGAGGCTGCAACATTGGCGCGCGAACACGGCCTCGCGAAGCTCCTGAATGACTGAAGGCGGCGCCCGCCAGCGGTTGCAACCTCGCTTCTGTGCGTCATCACCAGGCGGCGGCGCCTGCGACTGGCGGCGACCAGTTCCATCTAGAAAAGCAGGAGCTCACAGAGCGCGCGGCGCTGACCCGTCACATGGCGCGCGACGCTGTTAGATCGCAGATCGCAGCGCGATGGGGCGCCGCACAAGGCATGGCGCTGTCCTGTGTCCGTGCCGCATCCCCTCTTCGGCTGCCCCTCGACCGTAATGCGATCAGACATTTGCAGCGCTTATTGCGGGGCGCTGTTCTGCTGTAGCGCGCACAGTGCCGTTCTGCAACGCGATTGTAGCGCGCTGTGCTATCACTCCCACAACTCATTTCTCCAGTTTTCCCTTCTCCGGTCGTTATTTGTCCTTCGTCTGCTCCTGGTCGCCTCCCTGCCAATCATTCTAGTAGCAAAAAAGGTGCCAAAATGGGGAACATTCGAGTGCGGTCCGATGTGCTTTGGCGAAGGGTTCAAGGGTACGGTGAGTTCTTCAGTGCTTCCTGTTGTATTGAGCGGTCCTATGTAAGGCTGCCTCATGTTTGCAAAGGGTTGGAGACGACGTCCCTGGGCAGTCCCACCAGCCCTCTGGGCGTAGGTAGTTAGACGAACTTTGTCTTCTCTGCCAAAGACCCCCCGCCCCCCTGCTCGGGGGAGGGGTTTACCCCTTTCCCCACCCCCTGCCCTGGGCTTGGGGGGGCGCGGACAGTCGCCCAAGATGGCTCCACGATGGCCTCGGAGACCCCAAGATGGCCTCCAAGATTGATCAAGATAACAAAATGGCCCAAATATAGCCTCCTACATACCTCCAAGAAGCCCCAAGACAGCTCTCAAACGGTTCCAAGGGCCCCTCTCCAAAGGCCCCCCCCCCCCCCCAAATAGGCCCCTTGAAAAATCTAAGGGAACTTTTTTTTCTCGCGCCTTTTCGCTTCCGACGGGCTTGTGAAGCCTCAAGAAGGCCCCAAGACGGCCCAAAAGAGCCCCAAGAGGGGCCCAAGAGGGCCCCCAAGGGGCCCCAAGAGCGCCTTAGGGAGCTTCCGAAGGCACTTGAGGGCACTCTCCTTTCTGAGCAAAGGGGCCCAAGATCGCCCAAAGAGACGTCCCAGACCCCCCCAAGGAGCCCCAAGACGCCCCAAAATACATCCGAAAAGGGCTTAAGAGGCAAAGCACAATGTCGCCTTTTTGCTTCAGATGGCCTTCCGAGGCCTCAAAATGGCTCGAACATTGCAGGGTCTTTGCAAGGTCTTTAGAGTGTCATTGCAAGGCCTTTGTAGGGTCGTTGCAAGGGTCTTTGCCGGGTCTTTGCAAAACAAAACTTTCAATTAGCTTCCAAGAGGCTCGCGGAGCGACAGTTCCGCGACAGCGACGGTTTCATGGTTGACTCGTCGTTGTCGTCGTCGCCTTCATCGTCGTCTTCTTCTTTCTCCCCCATCCATATACTGGTCCATCCTCTTCTTCCTTTCCTCCTCCCGTTCTCCTTTCCTCCTTCCTCCTCCCGTTGCCAAAGATAATCTCCCCGCCCCGAGAGGGTTTTCAAGATAACTCCCAGAGGGACCCCAGCAGACCCCACTGAAACCGCCGCTCCATGGAAATATTCGTTACATAATTCAACGCATGCTCCCACCGTTTCAGCGCCCCCGAAAAACACTCAATATGGTTGCTCCGCTGCACGCTTCTACACTTCCCTGTTCAAGGCAACTCGCCGGGCGATCTGTTTCTGGATGAGCCGGTGGGGAAACGCGAAGCGTCAATAATTTCATGTCGGGAATAATTTACGTCGAATCGGCGATGCATCGCCGATAGTTCAGCGATAGGCCATCGATCGCGAAAACGTGTGCTACTGCGTGGGGGGGGTCACGAAGGCCATGGGGGTCGCTGGCCTTGGTGCACGAAGGCTATGGGGGCACAAAGGGCACATCACTGTGCCATTCCCGCTTGGGGTTCGATGTTCTCCCCCCGGGCCAGTCCCCCCCTCCGTCGGCGCCCCCGATCCTCCAGCACTTCCCGCGTGAGCAGCACCTTCAGACGAAGAGCCAAAAGTTTGGACATACACCTCTGGAGGTTGCATGTGGATCTCTCGGATCGGCGCTGGACCCCCATCCCTAGCGCGCGGATCGCGCCGGGGACGGCGCCGGAGGCGCCGCCCCTGGGGGTCCAGCGTCGACCCAAGAGGTCCGCGCGGACCCCTGAGCATTTGCGTTTGCCGGCACCGACGAAATGGGACTCACGGAAAGGATGGCCACGATGCCCGACAGCATGTGTTGTCCCAAACCGGCAATGGCCGCTGTTGGGCAGGTGGCCTCCTGTCTCAAACGGACAACGCCCGCGGCGACGCCGACAGCGAGTCCTGTTCAAAATGGGCAGGAGCTGCTGTCGGCCTGCTGTCGGCCTTCGTACCCCTTCCAACCCTCCAGATCCCCGAGCCTTGCGGATGAGGTAGCCGGAGAGCGGGACCCCCTCCGGCAGCGTGTACGGGAGCTCCTCGCCCCCGCCGCCCTGGGGCGCCCGGCCCGACCCGAAGAGCAGCAATGGCGTGCCCAGCCAGCGCAACACCGAGTGCCCCAGCACCACCGTGGCCCAACTCTCCGCCGAAGGACGGGTGCTGCCAAAGGCGTACGTGGCCCAACCCAGACATCCGGCGTCTCGAAAAAGCGGAGACGAAGGGTTTGCATCGTTTTCGGCCTCAATGAACGATTCGGGATGAAAAACCGGCCCCCTGGGGAAGTCAGTGGTCAAGAGGATGGGGGCCCGTGTCTCAAGAAAGTCGAAAGGAACCAACGATTACATAAACAGAACAACTCTGAGGTCCGCGCGGAGTTCTCGGATCGGCGCTGGACCCCCCTCCCTGGCGCGCGGAGCGCGCCAGGGGTGGCGCTGGAGGCGCCGCCACGGCGCCCCAGCGCCGATCCGGGGAATTCGCGCAGACCCCCGAGTTCTCATGCTTGGTTCTGTTACTGCTCGTGTCCCTGAAAGGTGTCTCCAGGATTCCCGCGGAGGCCAAGGGGGCCTCGCAGAGGGCCCCATTCATCTCTGGCGCCTCGAGCTCTCCGACCTCTCGACCGCTTTCGGCGGCGCGCCGGGGGGGAAAGCGAGAGGGGGCGGGCCTTCTCAGAAGGCTCGGAAGTCTCTCAGGCCTTGTGGCAAATTTTCTAGACCTTCCCCGAAGTCGACGGAAACTTCTCGGAGGGCCCGGGGGCTTCTGAGAAGCCCCGCCGCCTTTTGAGAGGGCCTTCTCCTTCTCGCTTCCCCCCTCGCTCGTCGCCGATACTTCCCCAGGGCCGGTTCTTCATCTCGCATCGTTTTCTGACGGTTCCAGGGCCCGGTACAACCTCCGAGAGGCTGAACCGATGAAAGCCTCCACGCCAGATGTCTGGGCTCTCTGGCAGCACCCGAGAGGGGCCGAAGGAAACGGCGTGCAACTGCGGCCGTCGACGCCCGCGGCAGCGGCCCAGCCGGCCCCGGCAGCAGCGCAGGAAGTGGCGGCCGCCGCGCCAGCATCTCGGGCCGGCCTCGCCGCAGCAGCACTCGAAGAAGCGCCCCTCGGCGGGGAAGCAGCCTCACGAGCCGCGAACATCTCCGTATCCGCGCCCCCGCGGTCTGGGTTCTGGAGCGCGATCTCGCTGATGCGCGGCCGCAAGGATACGCTCCGCGCGGGGCATCCGCGAGCGAACGCCTCCCGTATCCGCGCGGTCGTGGCCCAGGGGCGCGGGCCGCGAGGCCGCGGATGCGGATGTATCATGCTTCTCGCCCGCGACAGCCCTGGCTGGCGGCCCGGCCGTAGAAGGAGCGCGGCGCGGACTCGTTCGCTGTCATCAGCGCCCCGCCTTCTCCACGCCCGGCCCCGCGATCGCTCGGGCCGGGCCCTGGCGGCGCAGCCGTGGCCGCTGGGCCTGATGTCGCGAGAGCCAAGATGGCGCCCCGGATCTCCGACGAGCCGATTTTTCTCCCACCGGCGTTTATTCGTCGATGTCGGCCTCTGGGTGGCCTGTTTTGGGCCTTGGGGCGAGCAGAAGTAGATCCAGGACGAAAAACTTGCCGGGGAGGGGGCGGGACTTCTGGGACCGCGGATTGAAAAAGTCAGATCGCAGGATGTCTGGGGTCGGAGGAGGACGAGGAGGGGACAGAGGATGAGGCCAGGCTCTGCTCCAGGACTGGAGGATGAGGGCGATGAGGATGAGGAGAGTCATGGTGGTTGGCGATGGACGGCGATGGGTTGGGATCATGATGACGATGGTGGTGGTGGTGGTGGTGGTGGTGGTGGTGGTGGTGGTGGTGGAAGGAACCTTCGCCCCCCTTGAAAGTGCTGCCGACGCCTGGAGGTGTGCTCCAGCGCGCACTCGAGAAGCTGGCCGTCGGCGGCGTTGCAGTGCACGCTCGCGCGCGCCGAAGGCACTTTGGAAGTGCCTTCGGGGCGCCGCAAGGGCCCGACAAAATTATCGTTTTTTGCGCGCCCAAGCGTTTTCATTTGCGAAGCTGGGCTACCTGGCGCGAACGGCCGAACGACCCCTGCAGCGGGACACTCTGGCAGCACGGTTGGCCGCCACAAAAACCCTCGGCTTAGCGCTGACCGCGCACTGGCGCCCCCGCAAACGCGACGACGGCCGGGCGTCGAGCGAGGCCCCTCCGCCAACGCACCCCAGCCACGCCCAGGCCTGTGCTGCAAGCGCCAGTCAAGGGCGGAGCCGCCCCTCGCCCCCCGTGCCGCCTTGCCGCGCACCTGGCCCTCCTCTGGAGTTCGAGGTCGCGCGGGCCAGCTGCGCCCTCGGTTCGGTCCCTCCTCCCAGCCGTGAGGTCGGCCGCGGGTCACACTGCTGGCCAGGCACGGGCTTCAGCATTCGCTCGTTCCGGAGGAGCGCTGGGGGAGACCGTCGAGGAGGGGGGAGGGGGAGGGAGGGGGAGGAGGGAGGAGGATAAGGGCGACACAGGGGAGCACGCAGAGCCCCTTTCCTCCAGGCTCCCCCTTTCCTCATGCTGGAAGGAGGAGGAGGCGGACGAGGAGGAGGCGGCGGAGGAGGAGAAGGAGGAGAAGGAGGAGGAGGAGGAGGAGCAGCAGCGGCAGCGAGGAGGAGGAGGAGCAGCAGCAGCAGCAGCGAGGAGGAGGAAGACGAGCAAGATCCTCCTCCCTCCTTTTGGCATGCAAGCAACGTCCTGAGGGAAACGTGTCCTGGACCTCAAAGCTTTCCCCAAGACCAGCTTGTCGTCCCGAGCAATTGTCTGACGACCCCTTTCCTTCGTGGCGATCCTCCCTCCCTCCCACGACCTCGGGCGTCATGTTTTTTTTCGGAGCGTGGCACCGCAGAGGTATGGACACCTTCCCTGGGACGGGCTTCTCATCCCGAGCTGCTTGTTGACGGTTCTGGGGCCATGTGATGGTCCTGGAGGCCGCAAATTGAAGAACACCTGCCATCGTATTTTTCTCGCCGCGCGAGAGAAGTCTGGCCCCCTCCCCTCTCGAAGGCGGAGCTTGGCACGCCCGCTAAGGGTAAGGAGACATGGGTACGGTGCCACACAGCTAATATTGTCCAACGCTGGCAGTGGCCGCCACTGGGCAGGCGACTTTTTGTATCGAGTAAACAACTTCTGCGGCGACACCGACAGCGAGATCTTCCCAAAGCGGGCAGGAGCTGCTTTCAATCTTCGTACCCTTTCTTTCCGTGCATGCAGCAGAGAGGAGCATGGGGAGGAGTATCACAAAGGAGCCGACGACGAGAGCAAGGACGCCTAGCTACATGCTCTGGTGGCTCATCCGGTTAAGGAGGGGGCGGCCGCCGACCAGACAAACAGCGTCGACCTCTGCCCGACATTCGGCTACGATCGCACTGAGGAGCGAGGACCCTCAGATCCGACGTTGCGGAACATTGCAACATCGCGAAACATCACGACAAGAGCTCCAGAGACCTTGTCTTTCTGCGGCAATTTTCCAGGCATGATCGATCCGTGTTGGTTCTGGCGCCCGAAACTGGGCGAACACGCACGGTGTGAACAAATTGCAAAAGCCCAGGTCTCGGGTCTCAGTGGAGGAGCGAGCCCAGACCCCCGACGTCACGTTGTTTTTTGTTTGTTTCATAGCGTCGACCCCAACAGGTCTCATAGCGTCGACCCCAACAGGTCTCGATCCATTCCCCGGGGCCAGTTTTTCATCCTCAGTCGTTTTCGGACGGGCCCCAGGCCCTTTACGGGCCCCCTAGAGGAAAATAGCAAATATCGTCCGTCGTGACTTTTTCATGACCCGATGAGGTCTGGGCGGCAGGACGGCGGCAGAGCACAAACCTGTCCGCGCAGGCGGGCCCCCCGGGCGCCTGCAGTGGGGACACCAGCCCGGCCAGCAACAGCGGCAGCGGGAGCCGCAGAGCGGACCTGGGAGGGCCGCCGCCGGGCGGCCCCTCGCGCCGCCGCCGTCGGCGACGACACTTGGGAGACAAAGAGAGAACGGAGCTTACGCGAGATGGCACAGCGACCTTACGCCGCAGCTTACGAGGCCGCCAGCGGGGCACGGCACGTGGGGGACGAGGGCGCTTACGCGCGGGCTTACGCAGGCAGCTTGCGCTCCAATGTCGGCGCAGACGACCTCGTTTTTCTGCGTCGCTCAATTAGCAATGACGACAAACACGACGCCATCAGACACCCTCGAGTCATGGAAAAACGCGACGGAAAATTGTTCGCTATCTTCGGCCTCTGGGGGCCCTTCTACACCAAGCCCTGGGACCGTCCAAATAATGACACGGGATGACGAACTGGTCCCGGAGAATGGGTCGAGTCCTCTGGGGGTCGACGTTTTTCGGGGGCGTCCACGAGGGGGGCGTCCAAGAGGGGGGGGGCGCCAATCATGGCTGGCGGCATGTGCGCGGTCCTGAGGGTACGCCAGGGACGGATTGAAATAAGAAAAGAACATGGCCCCCGTCATGATCTCCGCACCCTCCTGGTCATCACTACCCTCTTTGTTGCCCCCGAGTTATGAGAACATCATGCCGCCAGGGGCCTGGGTCCCCAAGTCTCCGACGACATGTCTTTGTTCTGCCTGCAGCTTTCTTCGATTTCGGGGTGCGCGAGGGCCGTGTTTCGGGCCCCGTGACAGTCAAACGTGTTTCCGGGGCGAAGAGTCACTCCTGGGGAATGGGTCGGGACCTCCGCGGCCGCGGGCTGAGACAATCATATCGGCGGATGTCAGGGAGCGTGTCGGACGAAAAGGGCGGTTAGCAAAGGGGGGGTTAGCGAATCAGGTCACGTAGCTGATTTTCCTGCCGCTTCAGTGTATAGAGGAACGTGCCTGGCGGCAAGGCCATGCAACAAATTTCGTACGTACCCCCCCCTTTCCCCATCCCTCCTTTTATCCGACACAAGACATCGACAATGACGACGAAGGCGACTTCGTCGCAGCGCCCTCGTCGTCGACGGCGCCCTCGTCGTCAACGGCGACGCCCTCGGGGGTTTCCGCAGCGCCGTCGTTGTCCCTGACACGAACGACGATGGTAATCGGCTGCACGCAGGTATGGTCCTCCTGGGCCCTCCTCCCTTAGAGATCTGGGCGTCGCACTTTTTTCACTCTGGCCGTTTCCGCTCGGACTCGGGCCCCGGGGCACTCGTGGATCGATCGGGCTCGGGGAACTGCCGCAGAGAGAGTGGGTCCAGGGCTGCGGTCATGATGCCTGGCGATGTTGCGTTTCTCCAGGACGCCAGATCTCAGGGCCAGGCAGGAGCGGCCCTCGGTGCGCGGCTAGCCGATCGCTGCATGCGGTGCGATCTGTGGTGGCCTGCGTGCCTGGAGTTGCCCCCGCCCCGGGCCCCCCGAGCGTCGCGCACCGAAAGTCGGAGAGACGTAAGGCTCAGGTTCGGGGGACTCGGGCTGGGGTGGCGGGGCCGTCAGGAGGATGACGAGGCTCACTCTGGAAGTGGACGCGAGCTCCCGCTGCAGGCATCCCTCAATAGCTGGGCCGTCAAGGTTCAGTACGGGCCCGTGGCCCGTCAAAACGTGTGGGCGAACCCGAGTTCCGGCAAACTGGAGTCTCACGTTTCCCTGACAAAGGTCACCCGTTCGAGAGGGCACCCGGGGTCCATCCTGGTCAATCTTTCCCCCCGGGGTCGATTTCTGATGGCCCAGGGGCCGAACTGCTGAAGAAACGCCCTGGTCCTGTTCGACGTCGTCGGCGTCGTCGGTCGTGCAGGGAAGTTTGACCCCGACTCTCGGTCATCCAATTGAAGCTTTTCTGGGTTTGCAACATGCTTACCGCCCGGTCCCGCTCGCCCCCCTCTGCAGTGAAACCTGACAGTAAGGATGCACGACAAGGGCGCAATGGCCTTGGAAGGCCATGCCGACACCTTTGGAGCGGGTCTGGCCAGCGAAAGTGGCCAAGGATGGGCCGAAGGAGAAGGGTGCAAGGGCAACCTTGGAAAGTCGCTCATCATTACCATCAATATCGACTGTACTCTTGCTCCGACTTATGCTCCCTGCTCCCCCTCTTCCTCCTGCTCCTCCGGAGGGGGAAGGACGGTGAAGAGCAGGAGAAAAGGGGGGAGTGGGGTGGAGCAGGGGAGGGGAGGGAATGAGAGGGGAGGGAGGAAAGGGGCTAATAGGTCATCAGGGGAAGGGGGAGAAAGTGTGGACAAACAAAGTCAACACCTCCTACTCATCTTTCCTATTGCGCGGAATTCTGTCTTATCCACTCGCTGGGGTTGGAGTGTCCTGGGGAATCTTGATGCTCCGAATGACTCCGTCGCGTGATGTGCAGTCAGAAAGGGGGTCTTGTACATTGGACGAGGCGGCGGATGAGCAGGAGGACGAGGAGGAAGAGGAGGAGAGGGATGAGGAACGAGGA